CTATAGCAACGCGTAACTCTTTTCTACTTGCTAATAACTTCTGATATTTATTTATTTGAAATGGCAAGCATTTTGATAGTTATCATTAGCCCTTCAGTTGACTTCGGGCTTCACAGTGAAGAGGAGGATCATAAAAGTGAGAAAAATTCGACAGGGGAAAAGAAGAGCGATTCGCAGATGTAAAAGAGGCAGACAGACACAAAGGCTGTGAAAGGGGTTGAATATGATATACAGTGGGGTCATGGTAGTTTGAAGTCAGAGGTCAACTGCCAGTTAATATACTTTTTTGCCGTATGAGTATACGTTGCCCAGGACGCACCACGTGGAGGTAAGTCTATCGCACACCCCATAAATTCTGATATTATTGTGCTCATTTTGACGTAAACAAACATTAGTATTGTATCTTAGCTAGATAGCTGTATGTACTACTTCCACAGAACAGGAAGAATTTATTTCAAATGGCAGGCGTTTTGCTAGTTGTCAGTAGTCCTTCAACAAGTTGAATGCGATGGCTGAAACCTCCGACTGCCCTCTAGTGCGATTATGTTTGCGTTCGCTACAGCGTCAGTACCTTTGGTATTCTAATAAACGAGTTGAACACATTTTCTATTCTTTCGAAACTTTTCACATTATATCATCAACAACGGCTGTGCTGAAAATGGCAATAATACCTACTTTTGGCGTTCTTTTAAATATGAGGTGTTATTTTTATAAACGACCCACCTATGGGTCGCTTCGCGGCAGATGTAAATCAGCAAACGTAGAGAGAAGCCCTTCGAGAAATTCTCCAAGAGAACTGGAAGCTCATTTGCCAATTGGATCAGGAGTATCAATCCAAACAAATCAGTGTTTCTCGTCTGCTTCTTCTTCTTAAATTTCACCTTAATACTACAATGCATTCTAGTGTTAAATTTGTCAGCAAATATCCAGTTGCAGTAGTCTATGTGTTAGCTGCGCACTCTGATGAAATGCGTGGTAATAAGTCAACAAACGAGTTATTAATTGAGTAGAGTTTTATTTGTAATTTCCTCAACTCTACGATTTTTAGTCATACGTAGTCACTAAATAATACCTCTGCAAGAGTAGAAAAATATATTGCTTCTCACTCCGTTGCTGCACTACCACCTATTCCGTTTTTATAATTTCTGATCTTCATCACATTAGATGAAAAGGTCCCACTCAATAGAGTTATTTCGATACAGGGGAAAGTAAGTGAGAAAATTTCTCGTTATAAATTTAAACATATTGATCTACACCATAAATATGGAAGTGGAGATATTCCAATCTCAAGGAGATCGGTAATTGAAAATCTGGTGTCTGTAGTTTTCAAAGGACACATTGGCTAAATTAGAGATCATAAAATCAATGTCCGTCGGTGGGTGAACAGGTGGGGTGTGTGTGACCAACCTACCTGGCTGATTCTGATCAGTAGGAGAGGTGAATGAAGGTGAATTTCTCCTAAGAGTTCTGCCCCAGTACCCCTCTCTACTCAAGCCAAGTGTTTTTTTTGAGTACTTTTGATGAACTTGGTAAGCTTTGTACTTGGATTCGAGAGTCTTCGAAAATATAAGTTCTGTATGAATGAGAACAACTTCGGAATTTTATTATCGCTTTTGTAATTAAGAGATATAACTAAGGATATAACTATACCTATAACAGACATCTTCTAATGGTGTTTGCAAATTTCAAGTTAAGTAATCTCCAATGGTGAGGGAAATGTGCTATAGTTGTAATTATAACAACATCTAAGGACATAGAATGGAACTTAGTTCACCTTTAAGGTGTAAGAGTCGGAAAACCAGGAGAACCCTACATCGTTCTCTGGCCTTTTGTTTAGTAAATGGATGTGCTCAATCATTTGTCTTGGAAATTATGTTGCTTTATTTTGACTTTGTTAACAGGACAGGTTTAAACAAGTTTGTTATTCTTACATTAAAATAAAGAAATAAATCGTGTAAAATTCGTTAAATTAGACTTCTGGAGCCTTGCTTGACCTTCTGGGTCAGGTTTAGTAGGATAATATTTCGTGCTGACTGCACAACACCTAATTCTTTCAACCCTATACAAATACGTCTGAAAGTTCATTCCCAATTAACAAGATGACAGGTATTTGGCTCTCGGAATATATACATTACCTAGAGCTAGATTCTCAGGGGACTGTCTCTCAAGTCATCGTTTTCTAAAAGTTTGCACAAATTCACTTTTCACCGACACAGAGGGGAAAATCGTGCTTAGCGATCAGCACAATGTCAAGTCAGGAAGGCCATATAGACTGGCATGTGCAATTGTCTATTTCATAGCTGATAAACTAATCGATCGGCAAAGTAACAACACAAGATGCATTTTATTCAATTAACCAAACAACTGAAATGGAAAACTATCTTAGCAACATATACTGTACAGCAATTTTGTGTTAATTAATAGAGAATTGAAAAACTTATCGAAATCTTGCCTAGGGCTATGGTACCATCTGTTTGGTGTCATGGATTCCAACGTAATGCACTCTTTTATTCATAAAAGCATTTTCCTAGGCTTTTACTTAAGAAAATGCTTTAAAATATGAAATCGTTTGTGACATTGCAATTGTCTTCGTTGCTAGACTTCTGGAACTTTTGTAGGGAACCAACTTGCTCTCCTCACCGCCAAAATCAGCCCAGGGGATTGGATTTGGTGGTGCTCTACGAAAGCCTCAATCAAGTTTCTATTATCGGTGGGGTTCATGAGTGCATGCTTTACCTCCTTCGTGCTGCTTGTTAGCTTTTCTTCGAGTCCCTGAGCTCGTGCGCCCATTGTGATATGCTGAAACCAGAAGACGAGGAGCTGGAGGAATTCTTTATCACCAAGGTCACGAATAAGTTGCAGCCCCGGTGGTGCTAGCAAAAATAACAGCTGTGGAATACTACAAATCAGCCGTTCTTCGGGATAGGAGTTACTGGTTTCTCCCCACTCAATAATCTAAATTTCTTGAATCGCAAGCTGAAAAGATTCTTAAGGTTGTTCAGCGGTGTAGTAAGTTAGAAGAAAGTGCATCGACTGTATAGAAGGAAATAACATCGATTTTAGTTCTCGGCACTGGAATAGGAGAAAGGGAAACAATAAGTCATTGTTCAAGAAGGAAATAAATATTTCATGGTATGTCATCTTGCCGATTTGACATATAGATTTAACGCAAGGCCCATAAATTATTTGTGTGAACCAAAGTGGACTAGGATTGGCGATGGCCATTAGTTCGAATGGAATTGAATAATTCTCACGCTCTGACAGCGAGATTTCATTTTGGAACTATTCCTGGTTGGGTCATCGACCTGATGGTGCTGAGGATTGAGAGAGAGATGGGCTAAGATTGTTATCGCAATCCTACCACCACACAAAGCTGATCAGTGGTTTGAACGCACTCTACCTATGCAAATCAGTAGGGGATTCTGTTGGCATTGGTGAGTGCGTTACGAAGAACGCGTGGAAGCATAAAATTAATTTCTTGCTTTCGAGGAGGTTATTTCTGTAGTTGGACTTTTCAGCTCCCATTCAATCATTTATGTCTTTTTGTGGTGGAAACATAGGCCAAACTTCCAGGACCTAATTTCAAAGATAATTTAAAGCTAGCCCAATTGAAATATCCCAAGCAGATATTTCATGGGAGTTAACAAAAGTTCAAGTGTGCACCTCAGTTGGTGATGGAGACTCATTAGGGGAAAAATATATTTCCCTTTTAATTTCCATAAAGGAATGAAGTTTGAAGGTGCTCCATTAGTTTAAGCGGAAATCAGTCCCATTGGCAAATAGGATAATTTTCTTCCAGTTAAGATTAGTGTTCTACATTCACCTGAAATTCAAATGAAAGAGATATTCAGTTAACTCTTCTGAAATAGTCAAAACGATCCAAATTTCAATAATGGCGGTAGATTATTTTCTGAATCTTCATTTCTTAAAAACTGTAAGCAAAAAGTATGAAAAAAAACGAGACAGCAAAATAGAAAGAATTTCAAAAAGAAATACAAAAACCTTTATCACAGCTGAAAATAAATGTAAGGGGTAATTATACAATGCCAATAGTTGAGTCTGGCTTAAGCGGGTGGCGAAATTCGTGTTTCCCACCATGGAGAGTTCACGAAGCTGACCTAATAGGAACAATGCATTCATGTTGAAGAATGTGACTAAATCAAAATTCAACAGGAATTCATAACACTACAATGGCTTTCGCAATCGTTAGTTTTGGTTACATCGAAAAAATAATACAAGGCAGCAATAATGTCACCAGGGGAGGGGGGTGGGGGCGGCCGTGGCATTTGTAGTGTAGGGAGGAAGTGTGGTCGTGAGCTGAGAGGCCTCTCAGGCAGCCGCCAATGAACGGTACTTGCATTGCTTGGCCAACACGTTATTGTACCCCAATGAACGAGTACTGAGACATACACAGAGGAAATGAATCAATTCTACGTCAAATGCCTGTTTCTTTTGCGATAGCTGAGTTAATCCTAGGAAGCGTTCCACACAATGGGTAGATAAAGAGGTAGGGGTGGGGGATGGAACTGAAGATAATGGCGCAACAGCAAACAATAAAACCATTAGATTTTAATCTGATCGTTACACGAGAGCATAAAAATAATAACTATTAAAAAAATTTCAGTAATACTAAAGTCTAAATAAATTTATATGCATTTGCCAGTGTGATGATAAATGTCGTCAGCGAAATGGTCATGGGGTTTGAAAGATGAAAGAGACAGGGAAGTTTACAAAATCGGGGTTAAAAGGCAAAATAGAAACACTGCAGCGACATTGATCCCATAAGAAGGGCACTCTCAAACCGTTTCAATAAATGAAGGTTAAATGTCGGATCGCAAGGCAGGCGGAGAAATCGATATTAGAAGTAACGAAGTAGACCAGCCCCTAAGCCGACACATGCGCATATCACACGTATTCAATGTGCATCGTAGTCCACTAATTGTGCATATAAATTTATTTAGACTTTAGTATTACTGAAATTTTTTTAATAGTTATTATTTTTATGCTCTCGTGTAACGATCAGATTAAAATCTAATGGTTTTATTGTTTGCTGTTGCGCCATTATCTTCAGTTCCATCCCCCACCCCTACCTCTTTATCTACCCATTGTGTGGAACGCTTCCTAGAATTAACTCAGCTATCGCAAAAGAAACAGGCATTTGACGTAGAATTGATTCATTTCCTCTGTGTATGTCTCAGTACTCGTTCATTGGGGTACAATAACGTGTTGGCCAAGCAATGCAAGTACCGTTCATTGGCGGCTGCCTGAGAGGTCTCTCAGCTCACGACATTGGTGGGTGTGACTGCGATGCGCACTGAAGACATACGCACATGTCGGCTTATGATCTGGGCTACTTCGTGCGCATTCGAGTTGCTTGCTCTGCCCGACCTACGATCCGACATTTCACCCTTATTTGTTGACACAGTGTGCAAAACCACGCCGTTTGTGGCAATGCTGCAAAAATGTTTCCACCTTTGCCCTTTTTACCTCGCTTTTATAATCTTCTTTAAGCGTTTCTACATATGAATATATTTAAACTCTAATATTACTGAAATCTTTTTGATAGCTATTGTTTTTACGCTCCTATATACTGATAGGTTTAAAATCAAATTGTTTTATTGTTTGCTGTTGCGTCATTATCTTCAGTTCTATCCCCCACCCCACCCACCCCACCCACCCCAACCTCTTTATCTACCCATTGTGTGGAAGGTTTCCCAGGATTAACTCAGCTATCGCAAAGGAACGGCGCAAATTTTTCAGTGAACCTTAATAGATACCAAGTTGCACAAGACAGTAATTCTTGTCTGGCTTCGTCCAATGCATCGTAGTATACCATATTCAAATAAAAAGATATCAAGAGGCTCTTTCTCCAATGGTTTTACGCTAGATATTCCAAACTATGAGGAGATTAAGAGGAGGGGGTAGAGGAATAGAACTATAGATAAGGGAGTAACAGCAAGCAATAAAGCAATAATAATTTAAACCTGTCGATGTGTAGGAGCGTAAAAATAATAACAATCAATAAGATTTCACTTCTAGAAATAACGGAGTTTGACAGTTCAGATGATTGTCGCCTGCCTTGTGACCCGCACTAAACGCTCATTGAAAGACACCAGATCATCGAGAGAATACCATTTGAGGGGTCCACT